TTTAACCCAAGCATCTGCTACCATTGGGTCTGGACTGTCGGTAAATGTAGTGGGTTTCTGCTCCTGGAATTGTTTTATGGTAACCGGCTCTTCTTGCTGTTCTGGCATCTCATTGTTTATGTTAGTCTGTAAGGCTTACAAAAAGTTAGTAACCGTTTTTTCCATGATTCTTTCCATCAATTCAGTGCCACTGATTGATGACTCGCTTCCGTTACCATTATTGGTCATTCTACAAAGTAATAAATAAGGCATTACATTCATAACGCAACATATATATATATATATATATATATTGCATATCTAAATACCAATTTTACTATTTTTTTGCACATATAATATTACATCCTTGTTCCAAAAAAAAAAAAAAAAATCAAAAATTGTGTTAATGTCTCATCCTTATGATATAAAAACAAAAAATGGATCAGAACTGATCATGGTTTGCTTACAAAAACATTCTTCCCTACAAGATCTAGATGGGCCGATCAAACAACCACGAAAAATAATGTTGCATAAAAAGCTCAAATTCTCACCTTAACTGTACCACACCAAAATAGATCCACGCTGCCTGAACTGTATAAATAGGGACAGATTGTATGTATCCCAAAAACACTCGATCAACAATCCAGCCAGGTATCTCAATGTATGATAAGTCATTACTAAAGTAAACATTTTGAATATTAATAATTTTCAACGGGTTAGGGACGTTGGTGAAGATGTAGTCATTGGGGTACACATTTCCCCTTCTTACAACAAAATTTGGTGGCAAAGGGCCAATGATGTAGTGCGGACAGTCATATCCTGGGGTAAGGCCGAGGACACAAGTGGGTTCGAAAAAGCGTTCGCGTGTTTAGGCACGGCTCTGCCTCCACAATAAGTATGGTACATCCGTAGGATTGGTCTGCATATATATTGGCCGACCCATCAATTGGGCAAGGCCTGGATGTAGTCTCCTAACTATATCCTCTGAGTCTGCCCGTCCTTCAGGTGAGGTAGGGGGGTGCTCTACTAAAATATCCTCCAAATTGATAGCCCCAAGCTCCTCCCAAAATACTTCATCAAGGTGAAGCTTATACATTCTTACATCACCAGAATTAGTCATAGTACAAACATAAGATTTTATTTATGTCGTTATTATTATTATTATTATTATTATTATTAACTTGGCTCTGATACCACCTTATCATGACCCAACCCCAGGGGCTTAGGGCTAGAATCGCAACTTACTAATTAATTCTAATCTTAATAAGTTAAATGGCGCAGACGAAGACAAAATAGAAGCAAAAAATAAAAATAAAAAATAAACAAAAAAATTAATTACATTTTACTATTTTGATAAAAGAAAATACATTTATAGGGATTTTATTATTTTATTACGCAGTGACCGAATATTAGTAAAAAAAAAAAACATAAGAAAGAAAAGAAAAGAAAAGAAAATAACAAATCAGTATCAAATTCTTGTGCGGGTTCTACTACACGAGGTTACGGGTCTTCCTTACATCTCATCACCTGAAAGGGTAACAGCCATAAGCACACAGTAAAGTGAGAAATATTATGCCAAGAGTATAGGGAAAACAAAATAACCATGGATAGTTAGTTAAGCTAAAACATTTACATAACTTAATTTGAATAAACAAATTATTTAAGTGGCAGAAACTGAAATACAAAAATTATGTAAATAATTAACCATAACTACGGTACAGAATAGAACAGAACAAAGGTCATATGAGTGACAATCGAAACAGAGGTCAATGGATCCATGACAAACAGAGGACTACAAAGTGGCCAAACAGAAGCCAATGGTTATTTAAGTTCCCCAAGGCATGGGACTCCCATGGTGGTACTTATAGAAAATAATTATTTACAAAATCATTATCAAATAATTTCTAAAATTTAAATAAACATATCCATGGGTTTCAAATTAAGCAAATGGAGTTCAGAAAGTAATTAACGTAATTGAAATATAAATATAAATTATAAAGCATAACTTGTATAAAATAAATTATGGTAGTTCAAAATATATGTGAAATATATTATGGTGACTCAAGGTATAATATAACTCACCTTAATATTAATCCTTAACCTTTACTTTTCTATAACTGCCTCGTTGTTACTCGTAGGTAAATTTCCTTTTTATCCGAAACTTAGAGATGGCAAACACCGGTGCCGGCTATTTATAGAGGAGAAGAATGCATGGTTTATTGGCGTGGGGCAATTTCTTATTTGGCCACCTGTGCTCACAGGTGGCCCTATTCTCCTAGTCCCCACTTGATGGTTCTTATGCTATATATACATAGTCACCACCCTATATGCTGCGGTGGTGACAGGCCACTGCAAATTTTTTTTCTTTTACATTAATATCTCTTTTATCAATTTCAAGTTCAATTTGAGTTAAATTTTAAATTTTACCATTCTCAATTTCATTAAATTTTTAACTAAATAAATCAAATATTTAAGTGCCACAGAGAGAGAGGATGACGGAGGTGATCGGCGATGGAGGAGCACAACAGTGATTGTGACGAACGAGAGTGGACGATCATTGGCTACGACGACGGAGGCGATGGGTGACTGTGACTGCGACGACGGAGGCAATAGACGATGAAGAAGGATGATCGGCGTCGCGGACAGTGGCGGTGGCACTGAGGAATTAGAGAGATGTGAGAGTGAGAGTGAGATAGTAGAGCAAAAAGAGAGAGAGAGAGAGAGAGAGAGAGAGACAGAGGGGTATTTTTTGCTTCGGGGGTTAATAGGGACCCCATCGGGGCTGATGATGGGCCGAGGCCGGGGCTGGGAAACATATCACCATTCCCGGCCCAAAAATCATCAGGGATTCATTTTCGAATAACCACTCTAATTGGGGTCGGGGGGCGGGTCCCCGTCGGGTCAGGTTCAAATTGCCATCCCTAAGTGTTACTATTATTAGAACGTCAATTAATATTTTAAACTTTCTTTCTTTCTTTTCATTTTTTTTATAATAATAATCTTAAATAAAATTACCATAAAAGATATGAATTATTTTGGAACACTTTATCTCACAATTAAGCCTATCTACCAACTAAATCATAAAATTGGGTTTATGAAAGTACCCACCTCCATCACCACGCACACATTTCAAAACCATCAAACCCTCCGATGGATAGTCCTCCAATAGCTTCTGACGGCAAGAACAACAACTATTCGACAATACACATTTCTTCGACAATGGCAATGAGTGAATTTTTCTGGCAACTCCAATACGATAAGACGAGTAGAGCATCACAATGTAAGTTTAGAAGAGATTCGTGACTTGGATGATATTCACAGCTCAGAGAAGGTTGAGTTTGTAACGATAAATTTTTTCAAAAACACAAAAAAAAATGGTAAAAATGGTTTGACTTTTTTTTTGGTACAACTCTCGAACATGTGCTAAAAAAAATTGGCAACACAAGGCCCAATTAAAGACATTAGTTCAGTATCATCTAATCAAACATTATTCATAAGTTTGATACTTTAGATCTAAATTTTTTTATTCATATGTTTGGCACTTTGGATGTAACCTTATGCATACTTATATTTTTGTTATGCGATGAACTTTAGTTTTATTTGTTAAGCAAACCGGTTGATGCATACTCATGTTTGTTTCTTAAACTTTGATGGGTCAGACTTGTTCAGTTTTACGTTTTTATGATGTTCAATAACATAAGTCTGAACATGTACAACTTGTGTTGGTAACATGTATTCGTATATGGATAATTTATTCAGCAACACATGTCTGAACATGGTGGCAGAAAGATCAACGGCAGAGAGAGATTAGTGGTGAAAGGTTGACCGTGAGAGAGATTGACGACGGACAGAGGTCAACCGTAAGAGATCGCTTGTGACACAGATTGATGGAAGACAGAGATCAACGACGAATTGTCGATAGTAAGAGGAAGCTTGAGTTCAACAATTAAGGGTTTTAAGAAATTAAGAGTTTTTAGGGAGTGTGCTAAGGGGTGTGCATTTTGGTGGCTGTGATATTTTTAGAAGGATACTTTTGGTATTATTTAGTAGAGCTGTGTAAAATACCTCCCAATTCACATCGACCCTCTTGCTAACAACAGATTAGTTTGAACTGCGGTTTGAAACCACTCCACTCCACTATATTTAATATATATATTTTACCTCTAATAAAATACCAAAGTAAAAATCAGACTGAGAGAAATTTAAGTTGTGAAATTTATTGTAAATTAATGTAACATGTATGAAAATATTATGTGAAATTAGTTAGTGTTATATATATATATATACATAAAATATTATACAAATTAGTATTATCATAAAATGCAAATGCTTGATAATTATTTAAGATTATTTTTCAATTAACTAACAAATTAAAACCGTCTAAACCACACTTTGGTTATTTGCCATTCTACAACTCATGGTTTGATTTATAATTTTTTCCTAAAACTACATTGATTTTTAATTTTTTTCTAAAACTACACTCAACCGCATCATGAGCACCCTATTATTTGAGGGGTTCTTAGAAACTTTTAAGGATTTGAATTTTGTAGGAAGAGGTTCAAAGAAATAAAGGGTCTAAAGTATTAATTAGGGTGCTAATAGGAGCCCTCTTTTTTCACTTTGGTTTGTGAAATTATGTTATCATGTCTTCATTTGTATTTATTTTCTTTTTGATGAAGACGTAAATATATTAAGTGGGGAAGATGAAAAAAATCTTAGTATTTCTATATCTTAAAATATTTTGTAGTGTTAGGGAAAAAAATTTAATTAGTGCCTAAAATGCATTTGTGGAACTATTTTAGCAAAATATTTTTCTACCTTTTTTTTTTAAATAGCCTATTTTTAGAAAATAATTTTAAACCGTATTCAAAGTTCTACCCAAAAAAAAAAAAGGAAAAAGAAAAGAAAAGGAAAAAAGAAGAAGAAGAAGATTGATTCAAAAAAAAGTTGGAGATATTTTATCATTATGATTGTGAAAAAAAAAATCTACATCAGATATAAAAAATATTATTTTATTCCACGTCTTTGCCACATTATCGTGCCAAGTCATTAGGGAAACGGGATGGCTAAAGACAATCAATAAAGATAATCAATTCATGTGATGCATTGCTCTTCCATTTTTTATTTATTTTTTTATTTTTTTATTTTTTACTAAAGACAATCAATTGAAGAATCAAATATATTTAATATGGTTTAGATGGCAACTTCTTATTGTCCAAGAAATGTCTAACTAGCTGAAGAGATTGCACGGGCTTAAAAGAAGGCACTTCATGTCCAGCTCCTCTGATTGTCACAAACGTGAGCCCTTCGTACTCAATTCTCCACCCACCAACCTATCAACAAACAAAAAAACCCAATATTTATTTCTTTTTATTTTTTTAATAAAAAAATTGTGAAAATTTCAAGTACAATTTAAATTGGTATTCTAAAAAAATATAAGACAAAAAAAGGAAAAAAAAATGCAAATACATGGAGCAGTGGAAAAAATATTACAATACATATGGAAATTTTGTTTTTGTGTAACTCTGATACACAGGAAGAGTTGCATCAAGAACAAGAATAAATTTGCACCATGGACACTGGAGAGTTGTACCACCATAAAAATATAATTTTTTTCTCACTGCTCCACTTAATAAAAAAATTGTGAAAATTTCAAGTACAATTTAAATTGGTATTCTAAAAAAATATAAGACAAAAAAAGGAAAAAAAAATGCAAATACATGGAGCAGTGGAAAAAAAATTACATTACATATGGAAATTTTGTTTTTGTGTAACTCTGATACACAAGAAGAGTTGCATCAAGAACAAGAATAAATTTGCACCATGGACACTGGAGAGTTGTACCGCCATAAAAATGCAATTTTTTTCTCATTGCTCCACTGATCCAACAATCAAAAATCAAATTGATTATGGACAAAAATCAAATTGATCCAACAATTGTAACTAGTCAAAAAAAAAAAGAAAAGAAAAAAAAGAAGAGAATAATCCGATAATTATAATCATATATTTTTATCATGTCTTTTATAAAAAAATAGACCATTTAGGCCTCGTTTGGGATGCTATCTTTTTAGTCAATTAGCCAAAAAGTTACTAAATTAGCCAATTAGCCAATTAGTCATATCAAAAAGTCAACAATTACGGCTTCTCTCTACTTTTTGCACAACTTTTGAGGATCGGGGACAGGGAGGCCCCGGCCCGGCCCGTTGCCATTCCTAGAGGGGGTCAAAGGAGGTGGGGAAAAAGGGGGGATGAATCAATGTTGTATAAAAAAATAGACCATTTAGTTTCAAAATTATATGGCCTCTTTTTTTTTATGAAAACAAATATAATTAAATAATCAAGATAAGATTATCGCATCAATGTAAAATTTTTTGTGAGTAATTAATACATGGTGACCAACAAATTGAACAAATCCAATCATCAAGGCAGGACCCAATAGTGAGCTCCATGAACTCGAAAACACCATTCAATGTAAATTTGGACAAGAAAGAATCATATTAATTATAAATTTAAACTGGAGTAAATTTGTAGCAAGAAGGGAAAAAATACCTGTTGATGGTTGGTGAACCAAGGAGTCCATTCTTCAATAGTTTTCAAACCAAGCTTTTTCAACGTGTACCTCGTCGAGGTCACCGGAATTCTTCCATCGGTGTCTCCACTATTATTAATTATATACATAAAAATAATAATTTACATGATTTAGAAATTTGACTACAAGAAAAGATAAATTATATTGGTAATTTTTACATTTTATTCATTGTGTCATTTTAGTCTATGCACTTTTAATTGGCTCAATTTTAACTTTTAATTTTAAATTTTATATTAATTTGATTCAAGTGATAACGCCGTTAGGATTTTTGACAAAAAACAATTACTGAGTTACTTAGTTGATCAAGTTTATATATTTGGCTCTAAAATCTTGAGACATGTAGCTTATGTGTTCATTTTTCAAAAAAAAAAAATTGCTAATAGTTGGACTAATTTGAGTCAGTCCTAAATTCAATATCAAAATTAAACCTGGTATTATAAAGACTTGCTTACCTTAAAAAAAAAAAAGTATTATAAGAACCAAAATTATACAATTGCCAAAGTATATAGGGGTGTTTGGTATGGATTATAAGGGGTAATTATAACTTATTTTAATTTGGGAATCTGTACCAAACTGTTTGATGCAACTTCTATTTACAGTTTTTTATTAGGCATAAATAGCTTAAATAAGTTGAGAAAATTTGATTATTTAAAAGCTGGGAAATAAGTGCTTTTGGTTTCTGCTTTTCGATTATCAACTTTTAATTTACAATAAGCTGTACCAAACAGTACCTATGTCTACTTGTGTAATTTACCCTCCCAAAAATTAAATTACCTGTAAATCCATACGCGGAGGCCTTCAGCAATAAGCTTTTTGATGAGAGGAAGGATGGAGGATGGTGCATCACTCCAAAATGTTATATTATCACTGCAACCAAACAAACAAACCCTAATTAGCTCCATCCTTATTAGTAGAGGCTACATGCACTTGGTATCAACTTTTTTAGTCACCTTCAAGCTAAACTTATTTTGATGATAATCATCTCTCCTTTGGTTTTTGCAAAAAAATATTTTCATATTTTTTGACAGCTTGTATGACAAAAAACGTTTTTCGTAATTAATGAAAAACAAATTTATTTAGATATAAAAGTAATATTTACTTGAAAAGTAGAAATTTGTTATAGACTTAAGTTACCACCACTAATATAGCTATTAGTATATTAGCTTCAAAGTTACAACTAAATATTGACAAAAAGTCTTCGGTCACCGAAACAAAGGGAGGGTAAATAAAATAATAAGTTTAGACACACAAAATCAATCACAAAAAAATAATTTTTTTTGGGTAAGTAGTCACAAAAAATAATTCTAATTAAGAAGAGGCAGTTCAATCTATAGATAAGTTACCGTTTCGCTTAAGATGCATTTAAAAATTTTCTTGCCAAGATTCTTAATTGTCTAGTCTTTGGACGGAGGCTCTCAGTAGATGTTTGGTTGAATATTAAAAAAATTTATTAGTTTTCATTATACACATCAAATGCTGATATCCAACATGCACTCGAAGAATTATTCTATTTACATTGTTACACTTAAATTTTTTGTGATTGATTATATGTTACAGATTTGTAAGTAAAAACATTATATAATATTATTAATAAGTTTTGAGTAATAATATGTAGAGATATACCTGCAGTGGGTCCACGGATAGGGAATTTTGGTGACATTGGCATGGAGAGCATGTTGAACATCTGGCCTATTCAAGTATATCTCAGTGTAGTCTGATATGCAAGGGTCATACCCAGCTGGTCTCTGGTGCCACCCCTCCTGCAATTAAAAACAAAAAAAACCAAAAAAATAAAAAAGGCCAAAAAACAATTTGAGACATTGATTAATTGTTGAAAACCTTCAATTCTTTCTTTCATAGTATTGCATATCAAAATAATCTAAGATGCTTATAGTTTAACTAATAACCAGCTAGGCTTTTTCACTTTTTTGGTGTCATAGTGGTATTAAAAAAAAAATTTAAAAAGAAATGTATAATATATACTTTGTTCCAAGAAAATTTATTTTCTTTCACATATTTTCAAGGGTTGTTTTTTTTTTTTTTTTCTTTTTTCAAGTTTTTAAATTTGAACTTGAAGGATTCCATTTTAATGATCCAAACTATTGAATTTGTAGAGCCTACTGTGTATATTATCCATAAAAAAAGTTAGGTCAATCCGATAATTATAATATTTTCATTTTATCATGGTTTATTTTCAAAAACATATTTTCCATCCACTTTTCGGAGACAAACGTGATAAAATGAAAATGTTATAATTATCGGACTAATTTAACATTTTTCATATAGATGATATATAGTGAGTCATACAAAAATAGACTATGTGATTGGCCTCACCAACCCCTCAAATTTTCTAGAATTTAAAACCCCAACCCTATTTTTAAATGATGATCGGCCAAGATGTGAACTAATAAAAATAAGGAAGCAAAGAAAGAGGCACTAAAACAAAACTACACTCTCTTTTCTTTTATCTTAAATATAGTTCAAATCTAGTTAGTTAAGAAATAATTGAAGTATCCTATATTATGAATTACATGTGATTGGTGTCCCATGCAAGGATTCTAAATAAGCCATGAAAACATAGAATTACGCGCACAGATTGAATTGATGTCTCACAAAATGTTCATTATGTGTTCTCATATTTATAATTATAAACATTTCATGAGATATCATTGTAATTTAATACGCATATGATTATTGATATAAAAAATAGAGGGGGACTCACAATTTTAGAAAATAATTGAGGAGCAATGCCTTGGATCATGGGAGTTTTTCTAGTGGTGCTAGAGGTACTATCAACACAAAGTGGAGTATACAAGCTGTACATGTCTATGTCATTGTAAGCAACAAAGAAGTCATTAAGGGCAACACCGCAGTCATTGGACGTATTTGGATCAGTGAAGTTGCATTTGCTTTTTACATCCGCATACACACGATCTGATATCACAGCGTGGTCCCAAGCGTAATCAATCATGCCCTTTTGATCTGTTTCGTCATCCAATAATGCATTCCCTATCTGCATTGTAGTTCATGTGCATGCACAGCATGTTAGAATATCTATAATTGTGTTGCTACATTTGTGTGTTGTTTGTTAATATTAATGCTAAGAATACACAATTATAACAAAATTTATCACCAAAAGTGCAGTGGGACTAAGTTGATATTTATTCTGAACTGAGTTTGATCCTATCCTTTCATTGTATTTTCTATGGATTATTATGTGATCTATTATGCGTTTCTAACATTACTGGTTTGTTAACTTAAAAAAAAAAAGAGACTTAATTTTGTGTTTTATGTGTTTATTTATTTAGAAAGTGAATGTATACTTAAATAATATAACTATTTTTGTGTTTTAAGTGTTTATTAATTTAGAAAGTAAATGTGTACTTAAATAATATAACTATAATGTGCCTCTGCCCTTCTCTTTCTCTCTCTTCCTCCTCACTCTCTTCTCTTCCTCCTCACTCTCTTCTGCCACAATGAGCTACTATGCTTATGCTTTCCACAGTTAAACAACAATTTTAACTACGAACACACTAACAATATTTTAATAGTCAATGAAAATGAAAGAAGACAACCTTTTAATTCTATTAATGACAGATTAAAGATCCTAGCGGAGAAGCTCTTAGCAATCAAGTTTTATCCACAAGAAAATGAAAAGCTAAGTAGCCGAAATGAAAATAGTAAGTACAAGTTGGGACATCACTCACAATAAAACCTTTGAGGTTTATATAGTCATCCTTTGGAGCATTCTTATTATTGTCGAAAATTTGTTCTGCAAGCTGGGGAACATAGTGCCCTAACAAATACAGTAAACATTTAATAAACATAATTCATATACTTACAAAAAAATTGTTAATTTCACTTGTCTATAGTAAACACTTCAAAATTTATCTTTAATGCTTAAAATTATAAATACAAAGTCAAAATTTACAATGCAACAAGCAATGACAAGAAGGCAGGTCTAGGTTGTGCTGTACAATCTTAAGAACGGGGTAGGAAAAATCAGGAAGGTGAGGGGGATGGGATGGGAGCACGGAAGTATTGGGATAATTTGCTACCTTTACTATGGAGATAAGTCTAATAAGAGAGATGGTGTAGCATATGAGGGACAAAGATTGATGAATAATAAGAGTTACAAAGATTAAATATAAAAGATAGAAAGGTGAAAATAATATATATATATATATATATGAATATTTCAGTGTTGTACTTTCATTATATTAAACAAATTAAATTATGTGGATATATATATATACATAAAGTATTTAGTTAATACAAATAGGTCGAGTCGGGTCGGGCTAGGCCGAGATAGGAAAAGCAAATCCCGTACCCTCTTGATTTTCTCATCGAGATGGACAAAACTCACATGAAACGAGACAAGTGATACTGATCTAATAAGATGAGAGTAATTGTTATTCGTAAATACAAATATAAAGAAGTGGTCAAGAATGTACCTGCATAGCTTTCTCCGGAAATGTAGAACTCATGTGACTTGAATTGTGGGAACCTTCTAAACCAATTGACAAGAAATATGTACGAATCCTTGGCTAATGATAAAAAAGGATAATAAGTAAGGCTAGCAAATGTTATTAAGAAACGGTCGTGTTTTCAAACATTTTTGTTTTCATTCTTCACTATTATTTACAAATTTCGGATATTTTTACTTGATTCAATGAATCAATGGTTGAAAATGTATTTAGGACGAGGACAGAAAAATTTAAAAACAGAACAAAAAATTTTGTCATTATGTATGACCAAAAACAATTACCTGTAATGGTGTCACCAAGTTGATCAATGTCAGTAGAGGTATTTGTGTACGAAAAACCAACACCAACAGGAGATTCCAGAAATAACAAGTTGGCCGCTATAGAAAATTATCATAGTTAGTACTTTTAGGTCATGTTTGATTCACAATATTAATAGTGAAGTATTAATAGTCCTAGTAAATTAGTGTGGTATTCACTATCCAATTGGATTAATATCCATTGGATTAATAATCCCACCCCTACCCTATTACTAATAATCCTACAAATTTGTTGGATTAATTATCCATTGGATTAATAATCCTAAACAAAAATGTTAAAACAAATATAGGATAATTGGGCCCACGGATTAATAATCCTAATCCCACACTCTAATCCACCCAATCAAACATACCCTTAGAGTTGAGTCATGCTTCTTCCTTAAGAAAGTAATCATTGTTCTAGGTATGGATTGAATTTAGTAAAAACCAAAACTATGGTACAGTGAAAGAATAAAAAACAAAGGTATAACGATAAGTGTACAAAATTAAAATATAAAAATTTTATTCATTTTTTGTGTTCTAATTCTTTGCATTTTTTTTTTTTTTTTTTTTTTAACGGCAAACAAACAAACGATTTTATAACATAGAAAAAAAACAATTAGGAGTTACAAATAGCTTGGGAAGAAGTTGTATTATGCACTTAACATTTGCAAGAGAAATATTTAGTACTATTTTAAATTCAATTTTTAAAACATAGCAATGTCATGAGATGTAATTTTATTGCAAAATGTTAACGGCTTTACCACATAGCCTAGTAGGAAGTAATTGTCTTGTTTGGTTGAGTTTTCAAAATTTATATTTTATTTTTAATTTTTAAAAGATGAAAATTATTTTCAACCAAAAAGAGAAAATTATATGAAAATAATGAATTTTTTTTTTCATTTTTTATCAAATTAAGTTATAATATTTTTTAATAAAAAAACAAAAAAAATAAGCAGTCAAACACATGTTGATGAATTGTTAACCATAATTTGGCTTTAATAAAAAAAAATGCTTGATACACATAATTTATTATCTCTAAAAACTACTCCTAATGATATGTCTAACAAGTGTCACATTTTGATCTAACATATTCCATCATGTGTGGTTTAACCTCAATGTCCCATCATTAGGGGTGATTTAGAAGTGAAAAATTAAGAGGATGTAATGTTCAAGTAGCTAGAGAGACCGTCTTTATATTTTTAACACATCCTCTCATGTGTAGTGAGACAGTTTTTAGTAAGTGGGCTAAACACGTGCACAAATTATAATTATAAAATAAGCAATAAAATTTGCAAGATAAGTCACCAATTATCTCATAACTTAAAATTGACAACATTTTCTTGGACTACAAGAACAAATTGTTCATTAATTCTTACACACAAATTATTATGATTTTAAATGAAAAAAAATTGAAGTAATGTTATATTGTAAATGAAAACCTTTAACATCCTTGAAATTTTGAATGTGCAGGTACAAACCTTTATTCCAAGTGCGATTGTTGAACTTAAGAGTACGTGTGTCGTTTTGAGGGAAGAAAGGACCTAACTCCTCTGCTGCCCCATATCCAATTGATGAACATCCTGGACCTGCATTGTTTCAACTTTATCATAAACCTTTCAAATGTTAGCCAAAATTTTTTTTTTTTTAATTTGGGTTTCTAAATTTGTCTAAATTCGCACCCAAATCAAAATTATATTGTTCAAGTGCTCAAAACATTCGAGCTGAGCTCAAGTTGTTTGGATTAAACCCGTCAAAATTGCAGCCCTATTATGTATGGTAATAATGACTCCGTTGGTATCACTCAAAGATATTTTTTATGACTTCGCCACTTAAAAGATTTAGAATAAGTTGTAAATTTGTTTGGCACAAAAAACTTGTTTGGTTAAATAAGTTATTACACAATTTTTTTATTGTGAAAATATCCAAAATGCACTCAAAAGTTACAATTAAAGCAAAAGAAATTCCTTTTGTCCGTACATATTCAAGTGTTTCAAATAAGCTTAAAAAGTTAAAAATTGTAAATTAATAGGTCTCACATTTTTGGACAAAATAAGCTTAAAAAGTCAAACAAATTATAAATAAAATTGTAACCAAACACCATTAGTTAATGTTTTTTTTAGTCAAATAAATTATTTAAGTTGATTTATAAGTGTTACCCAACGAAGCCAATATTAAGAATTTTCTAAATTTAAAAATTTTATGTACTTAATTTTTTTTGTATTCTCCGTATCAAAACACTTCTATATTGAGATTCTCGCAATAATTATAAATATTTTGAAATGAAGTATCAAAAAGATTTGAAAGCTACATTTCTGATTGAAATTTAAAATATAATCATTCTTATCAGGTAAAAAGTTTTGCAACCAAATTAAAAAAAGTAGGGCACAGAATCCTCTGCTTCTAAATTTTATTATCTTCATCTCTTAAAACACATATAATAAATAAACTATATATTGAAATTTTGAGATAACTAGTTATAAGCGTTTTGGAACAAAAGAACAAAAAGATTTGGAGAGAACAATCCTCGGCCACTAGTATGGGACACGTCAAACATGTATGGGCATGTGTGCGTAATGCTGGAATTCTGAATATTTTATCAAATATTTTAATTTATATGGTGTAGGTCTGAGATATTTATTAAAATATTTAATAGAACATTTAATAAAATATTTAAAAAATATTTTTCAAAAAATACTTTTTAAGAAATTTTACTTTTTTATTTTTTATATTTTTTTGTTTTTACTGAATTTTTTAATATTTTAAGTAATTTTTTTACTTTTTAGATACACCTAACATAAATACACCTAAAAAATAAAAAAATTATAAAAAAAAAATCTTTTAAAAATTCATTAAATACCAAAAATACAAGAATTCAGTATTTTTTTTATATTTTTATGTATTTATTAATTTTTTAAAATATTTTTTTACAATTTTTTTTACTTTTTAGATACATCTAAGTAAAGCGCATCTAAAAAAGTAAACAAAATGTTTAAAATTTAAAAAACATTCACTAAAAACAAAAAATACGAAAATCAAAAAAATTAATTTTCAAAAAACTTAATCCAAAAAATTTAAACCAAACACAGAATATTTTCCGGGCACTCAATGAAACCAACTCCCATGTTCTTAACAAATCATGAAGATCAGACGGCAAAACAAAACAAATAATTCAGAAATAGGAAAACCAAAAACACTATATATAGAATACTAATAATTAGAATAAATGGAAAGAAAATGAAATGGAATTGAATTTAATTACCTCCATTGAGCCATAGAAGGACAGGCTTGTTTTCGGGTTTATACGTGGCTTCGAAAAACCAATAAAACAGTGCTCTCCCATGAGTTTTATTGACTGTAACATAGCCTGAATATTGCCTGAAAGTCACCGGAGGTTGGCCGGGAAGTTTGGTGACTCGGTCAGCCTCTTGTTCCAATAAGGCTTTGCGACTGAGTTGACCCGGCTCGAGTCGAGCTGAAGCAACTGCAGCTAGGATGAAAGTCAGAAGAAAAATATGAAGATACACCATGGGAGATGTTACCAAGCCAGCCATATACACTACTCTCTCTCCTCTTTTCTCTTTCTCTCTCTTCTTTCTCAAGTTCTTGTAGGGAGACTGGTTTATATAGTTGTAGAGGGCTATGGAAACTTGGAAAGACATATAATATTTATTTGTATTGTTGCTGTATACATTTACGTAATTGACTAGATTCATTTTTCGTTCCATTGTACTTGGGAAATATCTTTTTTTTGGATGTATGTAATTAATAATTTAGCAATTGTGGATCGATTAAATTTTTTTTTCTTTAAACGGAAATGTATTTGTAAATATTAGAATATAAGGGTTGGGAGGGTACTAGTAGACTTGTAGAGGTGCACTACGGGTCCCGTTTCGATAATCCGAACCGTTCAATGTGTAGAACTCGTCAAGTACTATATGTTTGAAAAAAATCATGTTGATTGAATATCGATAACTATGTGATCAAACCAGTGTCGTATAAAAAAAATGGACGGTGAAAGAACAAATGGTTGGTAGAAAACTGATTTGATCACATAGATATTGATATCCAATCAAAATAATTTTTTATACATAGATAGTACTCGACGAGTTTTTACATATTGAACGGTTCAGATTATCGAAACACGACCCGAGATAGACCTCCACAGACCCAACAACACCTTTCAGTCCGATCACGAACCGGAGAAAAGCCACAGCCTTAGAAAAAAGTTAGGAACACTAACTAATGTATTAACTAAATCGCTAATTGGATACAATATTAAGCAGGACCCATGTTAAGTAATGAAATTCACATGTGTACGTCTTATGTCTTAGTGTATGAGCTGATATACTAATTAGTAGTTGTAATCAATATGTTTGGTTTGGATTTTTTGGATTAAGTTTTTTAAAAATTGAGTTTTTTGATTTTCGTATTCTTTTGTTTTTAGTGTATATTTTTAAATTTTTAAACATTTTTTTTTACTTTTTTAGATACACCTTAGTTAGATATATCTAAAAAGTAAAAAATTTATGAAAAAATATTTTAAAAATTAATAAATACATAGAAATACAAAAAATGTACTGAATTCTTGTATTTTTTTTATATTTTTGATATTTAGTGAATTTTTAAAAGATTTTTTTTACAATTTTTTTTACTTTTTAGGTGTATTTATGTTAAGTGTGTCTAAAAAGTAAAAAAAATGCTTAAAATATTAAAAAAAATCAATAAAAACAAAAAAAACACGGAAAATAAGTGAGTAGAATTTTCTAAAAAGTGTTTTTTGAAAAGAAAAAACAAGCCAGCTGAATATTATTCAAAGAATTATTTTGTAGAATTTGTCCCGTGAATGATGTCACTGTTATTTTTTTTTTTATAATTAAGTAAATTACAATTTTTTTTACTTTTTAGGTGTATTTATGTTAAGTGTGTCTAAAAAGTAAAAAAAATGCTTAAAATATTAAAAAAAATCAATAAAAACAAAAAAAACACGGAAAATAAGTGAGTAGAATTTTCTAAAAAGTGTTTTTTGAAAAGAAAAAACAAGCAAGCTGAATATTATTCAAAGAATTATTTTGTAGAATTTGTCCCGTGAATGATGTCACTGTTATTTTTTTTTTTTATAATTAAGTAAATCTTGATAGATTTTAAAATTTAAAATGACAGACTCCCAATTTAAGACATGATTTTAAATATTTTTTTGTTTACATATCATTATGCAATGGAGCGGTATACATTTAACTAGTTTTATTTTTTATTTATTTAGTTCATATAAGGTACTAGCATTATAGATACGATTACATGAGCCAAATCAGATTATTGGAAATTTTTTGCCATATATATAATTAGTAATATTAGGTATCATGAAAAATTTTATGAAGATTCTCCACTCTTAAATTACACACAATAAAACACTACACATTAATGAAATGATGAAAAATCTTCATGATATTTCTTTCATGATGCCTAGTATTATTCATATGAAAAATGCTTGGGAGCACTAATTAGTGCTCCCACTAACTAGGTAGCAGTAAGTCCCGCCATTAATGATGTGATGTTTTGGTCTTGGAGTTGTATTTTTTTTTTTTTTTTACTTTTTTAATGCATTAGTGCTATTAGTGGTGATGTTTTTAGTGGGATGAATCATTGTTGTATTCATATATAATCAAAAAAAAAAAATTGAAATCTTACCATATTAATTTTTTGAGTATTTTAATGAAATGGTAGAAAAATATCAATAAAATGAAAAAGAAGTAATAATATAATTACAAATGTATTTTTTATATTTAAATTAAAAAATAGAAATTGAAAACTTACCAAATTGATTATTAGAGTATTTAATAAAATGGTAAAAAAAATCAATAAAATGGAAAGAACCAATAGGCTAATTACACATATATTTTTATATTTAAAAATGAGTAATGCTAGGAATACTAAATTTTTTGACCAAATATCTCACATGGGTGTAGGATCTATTATTTGTCGACTCCACACCCATATGAGACATTTAGTCATTTATTTAGTAAAAAATTTGAGGCCTATAGTATTTTCTTTTAAAAAGTAGAAATTGAAAACTTACCTTATTGATTATTAGAGTATTTAATGAAAGGGTAAGAATAAATGGAAAGAACCAATAGTATAATTACAAATGTATTTTTATATTTAAAAATTAAAAAAAAATAATGTTACATCTATTTAAAATCTTATTAAAAATAGACATGTCCAAATATCCTTGGATGTTTAAATGTCATTATTTTTTTGACAATCAATCACATTTGACGTCTTGTATTTTTAGTAAGATTTTTAATAAAATTGTTAGTATTTGTGAACTTATTCATTAAGAAAATGGAAATTGAAAACTTACTATATTGATTATTAGAGTATTTAATGAAATGGTAAGAAAAATATCAAGAAAATAGAAAGAATCAATAGTATAAGGGTAAATTATACTTATATCTCTTAAGGTATAGAGATCTCTCATTTGGTTTTAATAATTATACTAATTTTTCTTATTTTTGAAACTATTATCAAGATTCTTCCACTGTTAGGTAATTTAACAGAATTTGCTTATGTCTTGTGATGTCATGGGTTATAATATAAACAATGACGAAATTGCCCAATAGTTATTTTATCTATTCAAATGAGAAATTTCACCCACCTCACCTGAGATTTTGCACACATATTATCAAAATTTGATACATATTTTAGCATTATTTAATAAAATTCTTAAATTTCATGCAATATTAAATAAAATCCTTAAATTGTTAAGACATTATTAAATCATTTAATGAAAAAAAATATATTTTTCATTGATAAAATACTTAAAAATAAAAAATCTTTCTAAAATTAATGTTTGATAGAATTCTAATAATTTAATATAAGATTTATTCCACACTACATAAACAACATAAAATTTATTATTTTAAGTAATGCATTTATTATTTGAATTTTTTTTAAGTTGAAATAAATGGATTTATTTTTTTCCGACAATTTGTATTACTTATTTATTCATATATAAAAAAATTATTAATTTATATTTTCTCAAAAATATATTATTTTCATATTTTAATTTTTATCTTTGAGTTATTAAACTTCTAGTCAATGCATATTTAAAAAAACACACATTAATATTTCTTACGTAATTAAAAAAATTAAAAAAAAAAAATAAAAATACAAAAAAAAAAAAAAAATCTCCTTACAATAAATTAAAATTAGTTGATAGGAAATGAAAGATTAAGAAATCATTGGAGAATAAAAAATAATTCAAACAATTTATCATTTTTTACCCCTAAAATTAAAATTAACTTTTACTTGAGTAGAAAATTTATTTAAGAATAATAAAATATTGTCATGTATGATATAACATGTTGGCACATGGATTAGCTAGGATGTCTGGCTAGAGGATTGATCCTCCAGAAAGTGTGGATGAAGGAGGTCCCGTTGTCACTGTTTGATGTTGCTGCTAATGAGGCTGGCTAGTTGCTTCCTTTCATATGTGTTTTTACCATCTAAAAAATAAAAATAAAAATAAAAAATATATTTTTCTATTTTTGTTTATCTCATTTAAATTATTTTTATTAAATTAAAATTTATAATTAATTTCTTACTTTCATTAATGGTTGAATTTTTATTTTATTTTTTGTTTATGAAAGTTCAAAAACTTGTTGTGGAAAAAAATAAAGTAAAGAAATCATACTTATATTTTGAAAAAGTTATGAAAAATAAATAATAATTTCATATATAATTAATTGGAGAAATTAAATTTAGTGCATTTAAAGTCAAGATTAATGATGATTATGAATGAATTTAGTTTAATTATTAGAAACCTCAACCGAGGTAAGATTTTTTTTTTACTTCTATATTTATTTATTAATTTTTTAATCATGTAAACAATATTAACCTGTGTTTTAATATACATCGACTAGAAGTTTGATAACTCAAAGATAAAAATTAAAATTTAAGAATAATATATTATTGAGAAAAGATAACATAATAATTTTCTTACATATGAATAATTAAGTAATGTAAATTGCCCCCCCAAAAAAAATCCATTTATTTCAACTTTTAAAAAAATTCAAAAAATAAATGCATTACTTAAAATGATAAATTTTACGTTGTTTATGTAGTGTGAAATAAGTCTTATATTAAATTATTAGTATGTTATTTAACATTAATTTTAGAGAGATTATTAATTTTTAAGAATTTTATCAATGAAAATTAAATTTTTTTTCCATTAAAAGCTTTAATAATGTCTTAACAATTTAAGGGTTTTATTTAATATTGCATGAAATTTAAGAATTTTATTAAATAATGCTAAAATATGTATAAGTCTTTGGTAATATACATGCAAAATCTTGGGGAAGGTAAGTAGAGTTTACCCATATTGATAATAAATAAGTTGGTGATGGGTATTTTTGTCTTTTCACATGCAAATCAAATGGTCATTTTCATATGTAACTAGCACCGTTTGTACAAACTTAACAGATTAGGGAAATCTTGATAATAGTTTTAAAAGTAAAGGAGGTTAGTATAATTATTGAAATTACAGGGGAGGCTCCTGTAATTGTTAGAAATCTCAGGAAAGGTAAATGTAATTTACTCAGAGTATAATTATAAATGTATGTTTTATGTTTAAAACTTTTAAAAATTAAAAAATTATATTAAAATTTTGAACCCCACCGAAGAGAAGACGTGACGTGACGTGACATATTTGCTTATATTATATACATTACAATGAAATTTAATAAATTACAATCATAGTAATGAATATCAAATATAAATTTTACAAAAAACACTCAAAGTGAGAGAGAAAGTCTCAATTAATACATGAGAAACAAGACTCACATATGATGTAGATAGGAAGAATTGAACCAATAACCTCCTAGTAAGATACAAGAGTTCTGGATAATCGAATCAACCTGTTGGTTGTATACATTTAATTAGCTGAGAAGAGTGATTTTAATTCCATGGTTCATATTAGAAAATATCTCTTTTGAAAGTAAGAGCACGTTTGATACAATATAATGAAAAATACTTTATTTTATTTTTATAATTCTTTCAAGAATTAAATAGACTTGTCACTAGACCTATACAATTTGGATGAATGTTCGGTGATTATTCACCATCGTTTTCTTTGGATTGAAAACCTTAGTTTCTAGATATTTAGGCTTTATATAAGACAATTTTCAAAATTCAAGCACAAAAATGACACTTTTAAGCTTCTGATGCCAAGTTTCCAATTTGGTACAAAGAAGTACGAAAAAAGTTCACAAATGATAATAAAACACGAAAAATTCAAAATTCAAAATTCAAGAGAGTACTACCTATTTTTGTTGAATCTCGACCTTTTCATTTTTTTTTATAAATATTATACTTTATTTTACCCTTATCATAAAATTCTCATTTTGTCCTCAATCATAACACTCCAAATACCAACTCCATCCGCACTCTTACCTCCAACCCTCGCCCAGCCACTATCAACTCCGGTTGCCACCTTCTCTTGCACATCCTAAGTCTATCGACCCCTCTAGTCCCCTCTTTACCACCTCTTAGTACAATGTTATTAAGGGTCATCAATGAAGCGGATCAAATTTACTTAGACCTCAATTCTAGTGTTCAAATCTCATATTTTAATAGATTTTTTGAGTTTTGACTAATTAAAAAAACGGGAAATGCGTCGGACCCCCAGTAAACCCCACCCCCCCAATGCCACGTGGCACTGCGGGATTGAAAGAAAAAATTAAAAATTAAAAAATTAAAAAAAAAAAAAAAACTGGTCAATGGGAGCGCGTCACGTCACTGGGAGTGTGTAGCAGCGTTGTTAAAAAAACTAATACGGACCGGACCTATTTAAAAAATTAAAACCGCATCCTACTTATAAATCTAAATCTTACGGACCAAAATCAAACCAAACCGAATTACACATTTTTCATTACACTTATATTATTAAGTTTTATACATTTTTCATTCACATTTTTTAAAAAAATTTATTAGTTATTTTTCTTGTTTACTTTCCAACATATTTCAAGTATTTTGAATTTTTTTAATCTTTTTACATCTCATATAAAAAAAATAAAAAAATCAAATAATATATAATACCTACAAGTGAGGAAAAAAAACAGAAAGAAAAAAAAAACTTTAAACATGAGAACAAAAAATTCAAAAACATTAGCCCAAAAAAAAAAAATCAAACTATATATTAAATTTACCCATGCGAGCTCTTACGGACCAAGTTTATGAGCAGACTCAGGTTACAAACATTAGTCCAAAGCTATAAATCATTTTTTTATGGGTTGGGACAGGGTAAACACTCAAATAGGCTAGAACGGGCCATGGGCCCGGTGGGCCAAGTTGGATAATATTAGATTTTTTATCCGCAGGTCATTTGGAGACTCGTAACCCTACCCACCCCTGCCTCCATTTCCACACATTTGTGATTTCACATTCACTATCGCAATATCCTCTCTTTTACAGCTCTTCAGATGAGTAGCTTGGTGGTGGTAGGCTAGGGCTACAAGGGCGTTGTGAGCAGGCAAGGCAAGGAGGATTTGGGGCTGCAAGGGATGCTTAAGAGGGTTTCCGTGTTGCATAGGAATGGAGAGGACTGTGACGTGGTAAGAGACGGTTGAAGGTAGCAGAGACGAGGATAGGGATTACTGGAGGTGAGGGAAGTGGCATAGGAAAGTGATGCGGCTATGAATGGAGATCCTGGATGTGAGGATGGTGAAATGGGCTCCTAGAAGTGGTGGGTTTCAAAGAAGTAAGGTTATAATTAGAACTAAATTGTTGGTGTTTAAACAAAAAAATAAAAAAACAAAACAAAATTAATTCCTCCACTTTCAATTTCAATTAATTTATTACTTGTAGATGGACGAAATAGTAAAATTAAAACTTTATTTAGAGTGTAAAATGTTAACTGCTACAATTGAAAATAAATGAAATAAAATAAAATTTTAATAAAAGTACAAAGATACCAAGTGTATATTACCCAAATTTGAATTTATAACGCAGAATGAGAACAATATCGTACACATCAACTGTCATCCAACAACCAATTCACCATTCTAGTTTATTTTTTTCAATGCCACAATGTTCGAATCAATTTGTTTTACGAGATAATTCACGAATCAAACCAACTCAAACAGTTTTAGTAATTTTGAGAACGAAACGGACCCAAAACCGGATCAAAACCAAACTGAAAAAACAATTCGGTTCCAAAACAAAAAAGACCAATCTGATCAAGCATAGAACCGAACCGAACCAAACCAAACCATAACGACCAGTCTACTGGTTCAACCGATTTTCTTGAACAGCCCTATACTCATAAGTAATGAGAAAACTGGACAACAAAGATACATAAATACAAATGCAGACTAACATGCTTCAGGAAATTGCCAGATAAAGTACTTACCTCATATGTTTTAGATAGCAATGCATGGGTCCATGCCTAGAAATCCAATGAAAAGGCAAAAGCCTAGTACTTGTACATATGACATACTCCACATATTCAACCAAATTAGAATTCGAAGCTTAATACAAACATGTTCTTGATTTATAAAACAGTTTCCAATAGAACAAGAAGTAGCTCGAGGGCTTAATAGCGGTACTTAGTGGAGTAGTCTTTGGGTGCAATGACCAGACCACGTCCCTTTCTAGCTCCACGATACACTGTTTCAACAACGTCTATGAACTCCTGCTTGTCCTTCAAAGCCCAGTTGATCTTATTGTTGTTTCCCGTGCCAAGATCAATCATTATGTGTTTGTTCCTGAAAAAGAACATCACGGTTGACGGATCATACAACTCATACATTGTATTGAAATCGGGCACCTCTGTGATGTCCACCAGGTATAAAACCGCAAAGTTCTTTATTGTCTCAGCAACCGAAGCCAGTACCTCATCCATCTACAAAACCAACCGCCCACCCAACACACACACACACACAAAGTCATACAGCAGATACTAGTCAATACCAAATACTAAACAAAAGTAAAAGTATTATATAAATACAAAACAAAAGCAAAAGTAGAACAAAAACAAATACAAGAAAAGCAGAAGGGAAAAAATAAAAGAGAATAACACAAACAATGATTCCACAGCAGGTGAGTTAGACAAGGAAGAAAAACAATTCTGAAGCAGATGGTAAAACATACAAAAACCTAATACTTATTCGAAATGTAACAGAAGCCTACTCATAAATCATCATCATCAATATTTATCAACAAGCATTACAAAATTTTGACAAAAAGAATTAAGGCCATTCCTTCAAAAACAATTAATCCACTGAAAAGCTATAAGGGAACAGCCAGTAGCAAAATTACAAGGATAAACAAGAACAATCTGTGCACTGTTATCTTCAATTTGGTCCCCCAATCTAACTCCATTAAAGTTAGTGATTAATGTGAAAACTTACTTAAATTACACTTTTAGCCCCCAAAAAATGTGATATGTATCATTTATGTAGAAACTCACTTAAAAAATTACACTTTTAATCTCCAAAATATGCGATCTGTGTCATTTGACATCTAAAATTACATATTTACCGTTGACTTTAACGACATCTATTGACGGAATTTGGTTGTGGACCAAATTGAAACACTTTCTATGCATTAGGGACCAAATTGACACAATTTAAACACTGGGGACCAAACTGAAACACTTATGATATATTGGAAACCAAATTGACATAATTTAAACATTGGGAACCAAAATGACACAAGACTCATACTTTGGTTTGGGGACCAAAATTGTAGTCAACCCTAAACAATTTAATGGCCAAAAGCCTACAACTAAAGCTTCAGTCTAGGTGAGAGTTTGAGACCTGAAATATCCAAACAAAAGCATGAAAATCTAACTTTTTATGTAAAGATAATCTCTATCTATTAACTTCATAACACCAACGGCCTTGTGGCCTAGTGGCTTGGGTGCAACACTTAGTGCTTGCAAGGGTGAGGTTGGGGGTTTAACTCCCCCAGGGTGCTAATCTAACAACCGACTTTCGCCCCCCCAAAAAAAAAAACAAAGATTTACTTCATAACAACCCCACAATACAGACATATGGTAGTTAATGCTGATTGACCTACATTCTAGGCTATCACAAAGTTGAGTGCCCTTTCCCAGCTCAATAAAGAAGGCTCTGTTAACAAAATAATCTATAAGCACAGTACTCATTTTCACAAAACTCAGCCCAAAACCAACACAACTTCAGTAAAACAAACCGAACAACAAATAACATAGACAATGGAATAGCATCAGCATATTAATTAATTTGATTGCACTTCCATTGAACCTGGTAAATACCACCCATGCAGGTTAAGACAATGGTCATGGTCATGGTCATGACACATTCAGACTGCAAATACTTAATAGTCTAGTATGCAGATTGTTGGCCCTAATTGAGGTTTGACTATAGTTATTTTAACAAGTCATATCTAAGATAGCCAAATATTCTATTTTTCATAATTGTCATCACATATTTGTCCAAGAATTTATTCAATTTCAACATACCAAATATATAACCACCTAGATTTAGATCATGGTTATTAGGATCCTAATCCACATCACACTAGGATCTTAAATTTTGTAAGATTTTAAAATAACTACGATCTTAGTTATAAAATCATGTAGAATCGTACCACAATCCCAATTATACTACGATCCTGATCCTACCAAAATTTTTTTACTTATTATTTATTTCTTATAAATGTATGCATATATGCATATAAAATTTGACTACAAGCTCCCTTTTCAAGTGTTTCCTCTGATTTATGTTTAGCATAGAAGGTGCATTAAATCCTTAGTTTTTTGCTTTAGTTATAAATGAGTTGATGAGAAATATTCAGGATGATGTGTCACGGTGTATGCTTTTTGTAGATGATATCGTGTTAGTAGATGAGACTAGAGAAGGAGTTAACACTAAGTTGGAGACGTAGAGAGAAACACTTGAATTTAAAGGATTTAGGATAAGTAGAACTAAGTCAGAGTACATGGAGTGTAATTTTAGTAACAATAACAATGAAAGCAGCGGATAAGTAAAGATTGAGAACCAAGAACTACCTAAAAGTGAACATTTTCGTTATTTAGGATCGATTATCACAACAATTAGGGAAATTGGAGCAGATGTGATCCATAGAATTAAAACAAAGTGGCTTAAATGGAGGAGTGTGTCTAGCTATGAAGCACGGACACGTCCCTAAGGCTTGCGTATGAGTGTCGGACACGTGTCAGACACGGACAAGCGTACGACACGCTGTGGACACGTATCCGACACTCTCCCCTACGTGTCCCCTTTTTTTCAAAATTTTTCAGAGCCGGACACGAGGTTGGACACGCGAGGACACGATTCAGACACGCACGTGGATCGAAGAAGCCCTAGAACTGTTAGAGAGGAAAGAGAGAGAGAGAGCCAGATCAAGGGGAGAGAGAGGGAGAGAGATCGAGGGAAGAGAGAGACAGATTGAGGACAGAGAGAACAAGCCCTAACTTGTTCTTCTTCTCTCTTCTGCTTCTCTGTTCTTCTGCCTTCGTCTTTGCTGCTTCTTCTTCGTTGCTTCGTCTTCGTCTTCGCATCGTCTTCCTCTTCCTCTGTCTTCGTCTTCCGTCTTCTATCTTCTATCTTCTTTCGTCTCTCCTTCTGTCTCTCTCTTTCTTCTCTTCCCTTCATCTGATTTCATGTCTCTCTCCACTCCACCCTTTTCTTTTTATTCTCTCTTCTTTTTTTTTCCGTTTGTTTTATTATTTATATCCATATTTTTATTCAAATTTATAAAATAAATTATTTTTATTTAAAAAAAAAATCAATTTTTATTAAAAAAAATTTAGATATATATTTATTAATTTTATTATTATTGTAATTTTATAAGAATTAATATTTTGTTAAATTTTAGATATAAAATAAATAAATAAAATTATATATATTAAACGTGTCCCCAACGTGTCGTGTCCCCTATTTTTTGAAAATTTGTATATTTACGTGTCCGTATCGTGTCCCGTGTCCGTGTCCGTGCATCATAGGTGTCTAGATACTATGCGATAAACGAGTACCCACTAGACTAAAAGGGAAGTTTTATAAAACAGTTATTAAACCAGCGATGTTATATGGGATGGAATGTTAGGCAACTAAGAAATAATATGTAGATAAGATGAGTGTTGTTGAGATGAAGATGCTAAGGTGGATGTGTGGCAAAACTAGAAAAGACAGAGTTAGGAATGAGTATATTTGATAATTGATAAGAGTAGTACCGATAAAAGATAAGTTAAGAGAGAATAGATTGAGATGGTTTGGTCATATATAACGGAGACTAACAGAGGCAGTAATGAAGAAATAGAATACAGTAACGGTAAATGAAAGTATTAGGAGAATGGGCAAACCTAAATTGACATGGGCTAGTGTAGTAAATAGAGATATGAATCTCTTTAATTTGACTAACGAAATGGCCTGAGATAGAGTCAAGTGGAGAATAAGCATTCATATAGCCAACCTCATTTGATGAGACTTAAAACTAGGTTTGGTTTGGTTTGGTTTATAGAGGGTGCATTATATTAAATGTATCATTTGTCTTTAATGATTTTAAAATTATACATTATCATTAGTGATAATTTTTCATTCTATTTTGCATTGAAAGTAGAGTCTCACGATTCATGATCCAATTCTACGATCCAATCCATGAATCCATGTCAACGATCATACATTGAATCTTGATTTTAAAAAGCTCTAGGCGCACTAAGGTAATAAAATCTCCTATAGCCCAAGCGTGGAGCGCGAGGTGAAGCGCGCACCTCACCAAAGCGAGGTGCAAGTTGTAGAAGACAAGCAAAATTAAGCAAGTTTCAACATTTAAAAAACCAAAAAAATAAACATTCAATCATTGGCTGCATAATGAAGAAGAAGATGAAGACATGGTGGCTGATAGACAGAACCCAATGACAGAAAGGGGGAACAATGGTTGGAGTGAAGAAGAAAAAAAGAAGAAAAAGAACGGTGGCTAAACCAAAAAAAAAAAAAAAAAAAAAAAAAAAAAAAAAAAAAAAAAAAAGAGACAGAGAAAGAATCGGCAAAGAAGAAGAATAGAGACAGAGAGAACACAACGAAGAAGAAGCAAAGAGAACACAAACCTGCATAAGACGATGTCAATCGTTGAAGAAAAAAACCACGTTGTTCTCTCTTCCACTTCTGTTGATTCCTTTTTTTAATTGTTATTTTTTTTAATCACTTTTTTGATCTCTTTTCACACGTTTGTTCATTTTATATTGAAGGGCATGCACACAAGAAATCACTTAAATCGTGTTGGAGTACAAATCTACGTAAAGCCCATAAGGCCCTCACCGTGCACCTCATCCCCAGGCGTGCGCCTCAACGCCTTTTGTTCTGTGCCTTGCCTTTGACCTGCTTAGAGCGATTCGCTGCGCCTCACGCTTAAGCGTGCTTTTGAAAACACTGTTAGCAACCTTGGTTTAGATGGGAGACACAACTTTTGGAGCTCAAGGCAAGCCCAGGTTATAAGATTGAGCCTATTTTTAATTGATTCTGGTGTAAAGATTGAGGTGAAAAAAGGTAGAGGCAAATTGTTGGTTCACATGACTATGACAATGGTAATAAGCACAATATTTGGACCCTTTGAGAACCGTATATATGCAATTTCTTAATGTGGATCAACTCAACCTCCATATCATGACCATGAGATTAAACAAAGCCATAATCCAAAATCAATAATCCAAAACCGAACCCCCCCCCCCCAAAACCCAAAACCCAAAACAAAAAAAATTTAGAGGGCATAGAAACAGAAAAAAAAAAAAAAAAAAAAAAACTTCATTCTTATTTGATGACGTGCACTCTTTGTCAAACATAATAAGGAAGAATGCAACTGTGTAGAAGTGCCCTCTCTATTTTCCTCAAATTACCTAAAACAGGCCCCAATTCAATCTTCGCATCTCTGGCCTGTCAACCTTGAAGATTCACAACAACTTCATGCCAAAAAAGCACATTCATACAAAATAAATTCATAGGCTTCGTTTGGGAAGAAGGGTTGGGTTGGGTTGGGTTTGGGGCTGTTTTAGCCACAAAAAGATAAAATAAACTTTTTAACCCAATAAGATAAAACATCACATCCAACCTATAATCATTACATTCTTTCTTTTACAAAAAGTCCAAAAAGCTAAAAAACCCTTCCCAAACAAGGCTTTTTAGCCCCAGGCTAAAATAACCAAAAAGCCAAAAGGCCAACCCACTTCCCAAACGAACCCATAGTATCCCACATGATATAATTCGCTTATAACGAAGTTGCAACCTATTAACAGGCACAGTGCTTTTCTCATCTACTTTGCACCTAAAATACACCATTGTAACACAGGGATGTACGTTTGAAACAAAACAGATAAGAGGGGAAAGTTAGTTTCCATTTTTTCCTGGCTACTCTATGGAGGATGAGGTCATGCAAGTTACAAAATAAACAGAGATTGGGGCAATAAGAGATGGGAATGGGCAGGTTTATTAAGGATAATCTAGCGCAGGCAAGGTGACACATTCTTTAGGAGCAAGTATTAGGAGTAGAGCAGAGCACAAGATTAGGTTGGTAAAAGATAAACAACCTAAACATAAGAGAGAATTTCCAATCTTGGAAATGGGAGAAAAGGGTAAAAAAAGTTCGGCCAAGTACATTTCCACTAGTAAAAAATAAAATTAATGCCATAGGATTCTTTGGAATTGCTTAACTATCCAAGACACCACTATAACCTATATTCTGGACCAATTTGATTATTCAGTACCGCTACCCAATTAATGGTCATTCTGAGACCAGATGATATAGATGGAAATTCACAAAATTACTCAACTTGAGACTTCCATTACAAAAATTAGAGAAAGATAAACACAAGGCAAAATCACACCAACACAGAACATGAATCATATTGGGCTGTGTGCTATGGCCAGGGAAAAACCAGCTTTTGCCAAAGCAAGGCACAACTACTCAATACATTTAATCTACAGTCCATTGCATTAGCAAAAGCATGTTCTGCTCTGGCAATAAGGCTTCCCTTTTCAGGAACACAAACAAATCACAATTGTGATGGAAGGTCCAATTCAGCAGAGAACAAGGACAACCAAACACAAAAGAAACATTTATATGCATGCTAGGCAGTGGCTCACGCGTGCCAAATAAGATATCTTTATGAGGATGAAATAGTTGGATAACATGCTGCAATCCTAATAAACAAACTCTTTAGTAAAAATTTAAGTGAAGATTTACATAACCACCAAGTAAAATTTACTTATATAAGTTTGCAGGGTATCATACCCACTGCCTCTACAATAAGGTAGTTTTTGGATCTTCAAAAGGGTAAAGGGAAAGAAAAAGTCAATGAAGCATAAGCTTAAAAAAAAATAAAAATAAAAAGAAAAATGAATCCAATTTTCCCTTTTCCTTTTTATTTCAAACCCCTCCACAAATTCAAGATCCAAAGACACCAGACCTTGTTTCTCCACCATTCAGACAAAGCTGCATAAATGAATAAATAAAGTGATAATAATAATAATTGTGAATGATAATTAGAGGTGATAAAGAATGAATTTTTAAAATCCATAGGCAATGAGTCAGTAGGTATGAATTATAGAGAAAATGAAAGGATCCATATGAAGAAGAAAGTGGGTATGTGAAATTAGACCTAGAAAACAAAGCAAACTAAACCCTAAAGAAGAAGAAGAAGAAGAAGAAGTAGAAGAAGAAGAAGGTAGTATGTACACAATTAAACTGAAATTAGACCTACAAAACAAAGCAAAACAACAAAACAAGGAATTCACATATCTTCAATACCTCATGAAAATTAGAATTCATACATACATACATATATGTATAGAGATACCTGCATGCAGGTTTCGTCCCAATCATGGCCGAATCGGATGATGACGAGGCGTTCTTCTTCGGCCAGGATCGCCTGATCCACCGCCCATCCCGAGTGCAAGTGCGGCAGCAAGTACGACATCCTCTCTCTCTAAATCAATCTCTCTCTCTCTCTCAAATTTCTCTTTCTCTTAAATTTGTTTCTCAATTCAATTCCACTTTGATGCAAAGAGACTCTTGTCGGTGAGCATCCCTACGCAACTAAAACCTAACTAGAGTTGTGGCTTTGTTTGTTTATTTTTAAATTATTTTTGGATGATTTTTATTTATGTTTTAATTTTTTTTATATATACATTAAGATTAAATGTATCTAAAAATTGAAAATTTTTATTTAAAATATGAAAAAAAAATTACTAAAAATAAAACGAAAACTTGAACACAAATGCACACATTTTTGTTCTAATTTTTGTTTGTTTTTAGTAATTTTTTTAATATTTTAGTCAATTTATTTTACTTTTTAAATATATCTTGATTAGATTCATTTAAAATGAAGAATTTATTAGAAAATTCTTTTGTTAGTATTTGTATCCTAATTAGAAAATTCTATAAGATATTCATGTACTCTAATAAATTTTATTATTTTGGACATTTAATCCACCAAATCATAATTATCATATTTAAGATATTTTATAGATAATTTTATCCTTACAAATATTTTTTGAACACTTAGCAACTTGATAATGTAAACATTTACATTAAATAAATTTAACAGTGTGTGTGTTGACAGTGTGTGCGTTCACATTGACAATGTGAACATATGGGGTAGGGGTGGGATTATTAATCCAATGGATATTAATCCAATTGGATAGTGAATACCACACTAACTTAATAGGATTATTAATACTTCACTATTAGTTTTGTGAATCAAACATGACCTTCGTGTACTCTAATAAATTTTATTATTTTGGACATTTAATCCACCAAATCATAATTATCATATTTAAGATATTTTATAGATAATTTTATTCTTACAAATATTTTTTGAACACTTAGCAACTTGATAATGTAAACATTTACATTAAATAAATTTAACAGTGTGTGTGTTGACAGTGTGTGCGTTCACATTGACAATGTGAACATTTACACTATCAATATGAATATTAATACGCATTTCACCATATTATTAGAGATATTTTGGTAATTATATTACTCATAGAACTTATTAAAATATAAAAAATAATTTAGACTAAATAGAACATAAATAGGTGAAGAGGGATTTATGAATAAATGTTTAATTTTCCTAATATTTTAGTCAATTTATTTTCCTTTTTTAAATACATCTAGATTAATTATAAAAAAAAAATTTGATGAAAATATATTTTCAAAAAAAATTACTAAAAATAAACGAAAACTCATCTAAAATCAATTTTTACAAAATCAAACCAAACATGATTAATTTTTTAGTCCTCAAATAAGTTATGCATGCCATTTTGTTCTTGTATTAATTTAATTTCGTTAAAAAGGAGTGTTTCAATTTAATTCTTAATTAAAAGGGGAATTTTTTTTAAGGTCTCTAATAATAGTAATTTAGAGGATAAAGGATACCAAAAAAAAAAAAAAGAAAGAAGAATGATGTCTCAAGTCTCTCAACTAATAACGCCCGCTTTTTATTTACTTCTTGGACCAAAATACCCTTCACTATTAACGGGGAACTTGAACTGCATTCTGACGACTAGTCAGTTCCACACTTCACATCCAACTATCTTCACGAGCAAGAGAAGAGCAGAATTAGGGTTTTCGAATTATCTTCACTATCGACATTAGGGTTTCATCATCTTCTGCGAAAATCTTTGGGCATTCCTTCCTCACAAATTTTTCTGACCCATTTTCACTGTTCATCGTGATCACAGTTCATTTTCATCACAGTGTATCTTCATTTCAGGATATATCAGTTCGTAATTAGGGTTTCATACTCACTCTGGTAAGTTTTTCTACAATCCAACGAGTTTTTCTCTGGAAACACAGTTAATTGCATTTTATATTAGCCTTCCATTAATTAGGGTTTCAATTTCGTAATAAAAGCTACATGAATTTGAAAAATGTTATTTCTCTGTGTTTTGAACTTATTCTTGAACATTGTTGTGTGATTTTGTCTGTAAATTTCTCTAGTTTCATAATTTCTCTGGCATTTGCTTGATTTATGTTTTTTCTTTGAATTTTTTTTGGCATGTTTATTCCCCCATTTTGTCTAGCATGGTTAATTTCTTTGTATTTCTTTGTGTAATTTTCAAATTCAGTTCATTCAAATTTCTCTACTCTATAAATTTCTCTAGCATTTTAATTTTCTCTGGAATGTGTAATTTTTTCAGGCATTTTCATTTTTTATGCTTGCTAAATTTATGTTTCTTTTTTGAATTTTCTCTGGTTATATTTTACATCTATATGTAATTTTACTCTCTTGTCTGTGTCTATGTTTCTATGGCATTTATAATTTTCTCTAGCAATATCACTTTTCTCCCTTGTGTGTGTCTCTCATGTTTAATTTTCTATGATTATGTCTGTAAATTTCTTTGCCATTTTCATATTATGGAATGGAAATTTTCTCTGGCTTGCCATGTTTAATTTTCTCTGAAATGAGTAATTTTCTCTGTCATTTTCATTTCTGTGCTTGCTAGATTTATGTTTCTTTTTTGAATTTTCTCTGACTATATTTTACGTCTATATGTAATTTTTGACAATTATTCAAAATTTCTCTGTGATGTTTATGTTGCTTTGTTTATTTTCTCTGGAAATGGAAATGAACTGTGCTTGCATGTATTCGACACTACTTCTCTCCCTTGTGTCTGTCTGCCATGTTTTTAATTTTCAGTGTCTAATTTTCTCTAACATTTATAATTTTCTCTGGCCACCTTAGTTTTCTCCTTATGTGTAACTTTCTCTAGCATGTTCAATTTTCTCTGGGATTTAATGTTGACATCTTTATGTTTTCATTGTCTAGAAATGGCGAAACGTAAAACCAGCAAAACACCAAAAACACCAAGAAATAAACAGAAACTCTCTGAGTCTTCTTATGCTCTTAGATCAAAAAGTAGCAAAACACCACAAACTCCTCGCCAAAAAACACAAGTCCAAGGTGACGAAGTAACAAGCATCAAGATGAGTACTCCAACTTCAAAAGACTCAAGCTCAAAGGGGAAAAAACCTATTAAACTCTAAAGAAAGAGAGCTCATGACAGCATTCAATACCGATCCAACCTCTTATATGTTGTCTCCTTTTTTGAAACACATAAATTCAATTCAAACCACCTTGAAGAGCTTCAAAAGACTCCATTCTGGTATTTGATCCAAGCTCTAACCACTGAAAGGATGGATCCAAGGAAGTCTAAGAAATCTGATGATGATGTAATTTCAATAATCCAACGTTACAATGAAAAAATGAATGCATTCATAATTGGTAAAAAGAACTTGACCTTTACAACCAACGACATGACCTTGATTTCCAAAGGAGCCATGTCACTAAAATACTCAAAAAATCCAAACACTGCATTCCTAAGGTGAAGATTCCCAAAGGACACAAGGCTCACTGGTTATGTTCTTAAGAATGCCTTGGTCAAAGCAATGAAAGGCAAGCAACCAACTAACTTCAAAGATGTAGCAATCATTGTTACCTTGTACTTGTGTCTCACTCTATTTTTTGCAACAAGTGGGAATTTAATAGTGTGGGTTTTTATCAAGTACGTCGAACCTCTTGAATCAATAAAGCAGTATGATTGGCCAGAACCAATCACAGCAACATTGATCGATTCTATTACAGCATTGCACAATACTCCGAAAAAAGTTACGGGATGTGTCATTACATTGCTAGTAAGTAGAATTTCCATTCAAATTTACAGTTATGATACTTACAAATTTGTGTATTTAGAAAAATTAATTACTTCAATTACCATCACAGTATTGGCTATGTGAACATGCGAATATCATTGATTAGGAAGACAGTAACACAACTGAATTCCCAAGATGTACCAAGTGGAACCTGCAAAGCTTGACCAAACAGCTACAAAAGACACCAGTCTACTCTCTTGCACCTCGACAGGTTAGATTCCTATCACCACTAATATCTCAATGAAACTCCAAAATTTCTCTAATCACTGATGAGAAGAAAGTTGAAAGCAGGAATCCAAGAAACATATCTTTAGACAAGCATTTGGCATCGTTTTCAGTTTTCTATCTTAAGAAACAGAAAAAAGCTGAAAACACATTTGGAAAATTGTTTTTGGAAACGTTTTCTGTAATCACTCCATTTTTTAGGAAACAGCTATAGTTGTTTTTGTGAGTTTTGGATAACTGTTTTTGCAAAAACAAAAAAAATGAAAAAAATGTAAAATGGATGGGTGTTCTTCATTGTTTTATTATTTTGTTCCCAATGACGTAAAAACAAAAAACAAAAATGAAAAAGATGAACATGATACCAAACAGCCCCAACTTCGAAAAGAAAAAAAACATGGTACCCAACTAGCCCCAACTTCGAAAAGAAAAAAAACATGGTACTCAACTTGTTCGTGTAGCTTGTACTATCAATGATAACTAGTATCATCATGACAAAATTTGAGAGAACTTATATTTATCCACTAGTATCATCATGACAAAATTTGAGAGAACTTATATTTATCCACAAAAAAAAAAAAAAAAAATGTGATGACTTTCATCATTATGACAAAATTTGTATCTAGATCTCACTTTACTGGCCAAGAGGAATGTACAGGTAATGCGACTGATTTGAGGAAGTCACCAGTGTCCCCAATGACATTTATTATGGGAGAGCAACAGTAGCTATGGCAAAAAAAAACATTTGATGAATTGGGCAGGAGTACAAAAACATTCATCTAGAATACAAATATCAGGTTTTATTTATTTTCTTTCTTATTCTCTCTCATCCTTTTTTACCCTTAATCTACCAGAACAGTTCAGGAAAAATCGGGTTGAATATCATACCTTGAAAATATCTGAACTACCAGCAAGAAAAACTAGCAAAATCACAAAACTGAGGCCATGTTTGTTTGGGCAGACTGGATTAGCATTCCCATGACTAATAGTCCTAGGACTACGAATCCGTTGGATTATGTATCCTATCTTAACTAATAGTCAAGTTTAAAATAATTAGTCCATACTTCAATTGTTTAACCAAACATCGGATTAATAATTTTATTGGACTATTAATCCAATCCCAAGCTCATGTCCACCCAAACAAACATGGCCTGAGTGTATGCTATCATAGCTTTTAATAATTGTATATAACATTGCGAATTGAGAGGCCAAATACCTGTGGAAGTGCAGCAAATAAGAGAGCTCTAACTTTCAGTAAAGTAATATTTCCAGCTTGTATTAGAGATTCAACTTGAGCAATGGCTTCTTGTAATGTCAGCAGCTGCTCCACTGCATTTTTATTTGGGGGAATGGTAATTTTAAATGCTTCCACTGGCCTCTCTTTCTTTTTATGCCCATACCAGAGCATGAGAACTGCAAGAATTACAAAAATGGAGGGCAATATATACATGATCCATCCCCTGCAAATCATAATGAGTCATTTTATTAAATTTTCTTTCTTCAAGAAGAAGTAAACAGACCAAAAAAACAGTCCACCGAAGGGATATTAGAAGGATGTCAAACCTACATCAATAAAATCCCATCTCAGAATTAGCATGAAAAAGGCCAATTTCTTTAAACTAACTTCCTTTTCATACTTTAAAATTAGAAGGAAAGGAAAAGAAGTTAAATTCTCAATTCCACCATTTTGAGGAACATTTTGGCCTGCAATCTGTTATCCACAAGCATTAACTGTAGAATTACAACACAAGGCTTCAAAATATATTCTTTCACAAAAGCAAAAAAATAAAATAAAATTGGGGCTTTCTAGGGAAGGCTTTCTGTTGACTTGAAAGATCTTTGATGGAAGTTAACCAAGATAAAATACAGAAGTATGATAGAATATCTATCATCCAAATAAATCATTTTTCGTACTTCAGAAAAGGCTTTAATCCAATTACAAATGACTTCTCCATTCATAATAATGTCAATAGCAAGTGAAACACAATTGCTTAATCTTCCTATTCTAATTTAATTGATATCAATTTCCAACACCAGGGGCCTCCCCTGTTTTTGTGTTATTACTACACATCTTTCTAACGAGAAAAGAGAACACTTCAAATAAAGCCCGAGGAAAGAAAGTTCCGTTTTACCAATTTTATCTTTATTCGTCTACTATAAACTAAAATTCAATCTCCCAGCAATGAACCTTTAAAATTGTTAGCCTTATAGCTATTCTACAAATAATAAATATAGAATTCAATTTTGTTCTATAATATGCCACACACTTCTCCACTTGAGTCAACCTACTTTGATTCTATGAATCAAATCATCTCTAACCTCACCATCATTATTATTAATCAAACTTAAGTAAAGAAAATGTTCACTATATCTGATCTTATGGCTTTTAACCTAACTTCTTCATTATTTCCAGTTCTATTGTTGCTGAAGTCACATTCCATATATTCAGTTTTGTTCTTACTAACTTTAAACCATTTTGACTCGAGTGCTTCGGACTAGGCCTGTCATTATTTGTTAGCTTTTTAGTTGGCTGATTTCCGGTTGACAAAACGTCTGAGTCTGTATTTTTGGATTTTTCTTGTTTTGGGGTTTGAGTCTTAGACTAGTTGAGCTCATTTTGTTGTGCTTGGGTTCTTGTTGGTGGAAGAATCTTCCAAGTCTCAAAGGTTTGTGACCCAGCCACACTTCACAAACTGGTTTTATGGTTTGCACTCGCTTTCCACCCCGTTCGGTCGCTCAAGCTCTGGTTTTCCTACAATGCCCCGCTCGATTCAAGCTCAACAGTCGCTCGAGCGCTACAACCCCTGAGTTGTTCGCTTGTTTCGAGCTCGACAGTTACTCGAGCGCTTTCATTGCTTCATGTTCTACTCGACACGCGCTCTATAGTTGCTCAAGCGCTGGAACTCCTGTATTATGCGCTTGCTTCACACTCTACAGGGGCTCAAGCGCTGAAATTCCTGTAAAGCGGGATCAATAGGCGCTCAACAGCCATTCAAGCACCAACGACTTGTAGCTCGTGTGTTTTTGAGCTTTTTGTGACTCTTTTGCCCCTTAACTGTTTCTTGATCAAATATGATCTCATCTTTTTGGTAGAGATTCGAGAATACAAGCTTAGATACACTTTCTCTCTCTACTTGGTTGATTTAAGCTTGTGCTCCAAGAATCCATGGATAAGGGTTTCAACCTAGAGATGGGTTCAAGATTTCTATCTTTATTTCTCTCTAGATTGATTGTTTTTCAACTCATTTTTCTTAAATCATACACGTACTCTTTTTATCCTTTAATCACCATGGTCAATTGAAGATTGAAGCCATTGATTTGGAGATTGGAGCTCAAAGGTTCATGGCGATTTGTGAATCAACAGTGCCTGTTCTTGCAAGGCCGCTACGGAGCAGAGATCTAGCTCTTGAAGCTTGTGGTGAGGCTCAACTATAGGGAGGCTAGTGATTTAGTCTCCTTGTTGTCTCGCATTGATCATTTATCAATGGATTCATCCTCAAGTGATAAATTGGTTTGGCTCTTGCATATTTCCGGTATCTTTTCTTGCAAATCCTTTTTCACAAAAATCATTGAGAAGCCAAATATTCCATTTTTTTCTCTACACAAAAGAATTTGGAAATCTTTTGCGCCTCTCAAAGTGAAGTTTTTTATATGGTCTTTGATTCATGGAAGCATTTTGACCAATGATGTCCTTCAAAATAGGAGGCCTAATCGTTATCTTTTTCCTCAATGGTGCATTATGTGTAAGGAAGAGGGGGAGACTCTGGATCATCTTTTTTTTTTTGCATTGCCCAGTGGCAAGGAGTTTGTGGCAGCAGTTTTTTTCATGGGGTGGCCTTGATTGGGTGGCACCGGAATCAAGTAGTTCAATGCTCTCTATGGATTTTTTTATTTTTGGCTCAAATAAAAAAGCAAAGGTGTTGTTGGGGCTTTATGTAGCTTTTGCTTTATTCCGGGTCATATGGTTGGAAAGGAATGCGAGCATCTTTGAGGATAAGTGTTGATGTCTTTTTGATGTGGGAGAAAATGAGATTCCTAGTAATTCCTATTTGAGTCTTGTAATTGGTCGATTCATTGATCTAGTAAAATTCGGTGTTGGGGTCACGGTTTTCATCCTGTGAGAGGGTTTCATCATAAGGTTTCCATATAAATTGTGCATCTCTTATATTGTTTCATTATTGTCTATTGAGAAATCATGTGGGGTTTTGGTTGATAATTGTTGATTGTTCTTGATTTGATTTTTGGATATTGGAATCACTTAGAACAATCATTAGGAAATCATTGGGAATTTCATTATTAATAAATAAAATTTCAACAATGAACAATCATATGATGAATGTCATTAGGAGATTGTACATGAAGACCAAGCCTATTGAAGAGTCAAGTTGGGATGAAAAGAAGCAGGCAGCCTGGCCACCACTATCTTCATGTAAAATTTATTTAAGATGGCATCACAACTACCCTATCCACTAGCCAACCTGGTCCGTCCGTCTTTGGACCAAAATATGAAGAGAATCCATGAAACTTGAACTTAAAAATTCCCTTTGGGTTATTAAGCATTGCCTCCATTTTTTTTTTTTCATATCAAGCAATCACATCCAATATCCACTGATTGATGAAGGCCTTTACTGCTGCTTTTCTCTTTGAAAAATCAAGTCACCTAATATCCAAGAAAGATGAGAAGCATAAAGTCAAAATTCAAGCCTGCTTACAACCTACTCCAATTATTTTAAGCCTTTACCGTTCAAAATGCTCTTCATGTTTTTCCATCATTGCTCATTCATTCCTGTTATGCTCAAAGAAATGAAAACCAAGTTCATAAATTTCTAACATTGAAAGTGTTGAGCATCTCCAAGAGGATAGTTAAACAAGGCTTGTTAGGCATTTTAGCCAATGTAAGTCTAATTTTGAGCTCTAATGGGCTAGCCACTTTACCATCCTATTTTTTTGGTGGTTACAATTGAAGAGCCCTAGAGGCTCTCTAAACAATTATGTATGTATATATTTTAGATTTTTGTATATTTATGTCTTGGATTTGGGATTTTATATTATATATATGTGTGTGTGTGTGTGTGTGTGTGTGTGTGTGTGCGTGTGTGTGTGTATGTAGCAATTTTATATGTTCTTTTAATTCTGTTTGATGAATTACGGAATAACTTATTTTGTATTTGTATTTTTTTTCTCCTCATTCTATAGGTTTTGTATGCTTGTATGGGCAAATTTATTATTACTGCAAATTTATTTAGTAAAATATCAACAATTAGTATTTTTGTATTTTAAAAATTAATTAAGTTAGTTTAAATGATTAGCTAAAATAAAGAGCGTGGTTGGATAACACAATAGCTAAAGTAATTAGGTAAAATAAAGAGTGTACTTTTTTTTGTACTTTAGCTAGTGAAAAGTAGAGAGTGTGGTTGGAGTTGCTCTAAGGGGGCTTTTCCTTAAATAAGCTAAAATACCAAGCTATTTTTCAAACTAGGCCTAGTTTTGACGGATTTCCCAAAATAAGCTAAAACGTGGTTAGAAACCACGCTTTCACCGTTTTTATAGCCCAACCGCGGAAAATTTGTAAAATCATAAAAGCGTGGTTACAAACCACGCTTTTAATTAAGAAAACATTGTTACAAATTACATTTTTTAGGAAATTTGATTTATAACCACGCTTTTAAATTATTTTTTTTTTCTTCAGAAAACGTGGTTTACAACCACACTTTTAGGACAGCGTGGTTTCTAACCACGCTTTTAAATAAATTTTTATTTTCCAGAAAACGTGGTTCACAAACACGCTTTTACTGACTAAAGAAAGCGTGGATGATAACCACGCTTTTAACCGAACACGAACAATGCTATTATTATTATTATTATTATTTAATCCAGATTATATAGTTCGCTCAGTCATCTTATAGATCTCTGTATATAAATTATTCATATAAAATATCATATTAATAAACAATCTTAGCTACCAAATTTTATTATTTTAATATATAAAAATAAATTATGTAATTTTGAAATTATGTAATTTTGAAATTATGTTTCACATTCATTTTTTTTTTTTAAAAAAATGATAAAATTATATGTACGATTATCAAATCAATTTGACATTTACATAAATAATTTATACATAAAAATTTTAAAAAATAAACAACATGTATTGTCTAAAGAGTAGTGAATTGTGTAAAAAAGATAAATTAAATATTTGGTTAATTTACCTGATATTTTTTAAATTGTTATTTAAATATAAAATTTTAAATAAATTTTTATTTTGTTATATAATTTTAAAAAGATTGATGATGGACAAAAATAAAAAATTAAAAATTAAAAATTAAAAAAGAAGAAGAAAATAATGGCCTCGAGACACGCACCCTCTCAGAGAACATTTTGTGCAGTTTCGGAGAGATTTTGTCAGGGCTTTTCCCAAACTAAGCCCCTATACTGATTTATTTCCGAAACTAAGCCTACTTTTGCAGAATTTTCGAAACTAAATATTTGTTATTCCCTTAAATTTTTGTTGCCACGAAATATTTAAATAAAACTTCACACAGCATATATAAAGTATCTAATTTGCTAATTACTACTACGAATAGAAAAACAAAATAAAGGTATAACTATAACACCTATAACACTTTAAAATGCCGTAGCTAGTTCAAACATAAGTATCCCGCAAAAATAATTTGTGGAAGCATTGAACATAACACATAACATAAAATAAAG